GTTAGGTCCTCGCCTACCGGAAGAGGAAGTTTAACGATCAGCTCGGGTGTGTGAGTGTGAGGGCAGGCAGGATGGTGTCCTGGATTATCTCTCGAGCTGTAGTGTGAGTATCCTGACAATCAGATCAGTGTCATGGCTTCCTTCATATGGGGGAGCATTAACACACAGAGCCATGCAGCTACACCTACAGAATAAACCTTATATTGCCCCCAGTGTCAGTGCCCTCCTAAACCTTATATTGCCCCCAGTGTCAGTGCCCTCCTAAACCTTATATTGCCCCCAGTGTCAATGCCCTCCTAAACCTTATATTGCCCCCAGTGTCAGTGCCCTCCTAAACCTTATATTGCCCCCAGTGTCAGTGCCCTCCTAAACCTTATATTGGCCCCCAGTGTCAGTGCCCTCCTAAACCTTATATTGCCCCCAGTGTCAATGCCCTCCTAAACCTTATATTGCCCCCAGTGTCAATGCCCTCCTAAACCTTATATTGCCCCCAGTGTCCCCTCCTAAACCTTATATTGCCCCCAGTGTCAGTGCCCTCCTAAACCTTATATTGCCCCCAGTGTCAGTGCCCTCCTAAACCTTATATTGCCCCCAGTGTCAGTGCCCTCCTAAACCTTATATTGCCCCCTGTCAATGCCCTCCTAAACCTTATATTGCCCCCAGTGTCAATGCCCTCCTAAACCTTATATTGCCCCCAGTGTCAATGCCCTCCTAAACCTTATATTGCCCCCAGTGTCAGTGCCCTCCTAAACCTTATATTGCCCCCAGTGTCAGTGCCCTCCTAAACCTTATATTGCCCCCAGTGTCAGTGCCCTCCTAAACCTTATATTGCCCCCAGTGTCAGTGCCCTCCTAAACCTTATATTGCCCCCAGTGTCAGTGCCCACCTAAACCTTATATTGCCCCTCAGTGTCAAGGCCCTGCTAAACCTTATATTGCCCCTCAGTGTCAAGGTCCTGCTAAACCTTATATTGCCCCTCAGTGTCAAGGTCCTGCTAAACCTTATATTGCCCCTCAGTGTCAAGGCCCTGTTAAACCTTATGTTGCCCCTCAGTGTCAAGGCCCTGTTAAACCTTATGTTGCCCCTCAGTGTCAAGGCCCTGTTAAACCTTATGTTGCCCCTCAGTGTCAAGGCCCTGTTAAACCTTATGTTGCCCCTCAGTGTCAAGGCCCTGTTAAACCTTATGTTGCCCCTCACTGTCAAGGTCCTGCTAAACCTTATATTGCCCCTCAGTGTCAGGGCGCTGCTTAACCCAATATGGCCCCTCAGTGTCAGGGCCCAACTTAACCCCATATTGCCCTTATAGTTAGGGCCTGGCTAAACCCATATTGCCCCCAGTGTCAGGTCCTGGCTAAACCCTGTACTGCCACCAGTGACATGTGCCGGCTAAACCTTATACTACCCCCCACTGTCAATGCCCTCTTAAATCTAATGCTGCCTCCAGTGTCAGGCCCTTGCTAAACCCCATATTGCCCCCAGTGTCAGGCCCTTGCTAAACCCCATATTGCCCCCAGTGTCGGGTACTGGCTAAATCCTATCCTGCCACCAGTGTCATGTGCCGACTAAACCTTATACTGCCCCCACTTTTAGGTCCCGGCTAAACCTTATACTACCCCCTCCATTGTCAGGGCCTGGCTAAACCCCATTTACCCTTAGTGTCAGGTTAAGGGGGAAGGCGTTTGACTGGCACATAGACAGTGGTGTAGTTTAGTAAGGCTTGTTCCATAAAAGAGGAATGTACCAGAGTTATTACTGCGAAATCACAGGTTTTAATACATTGTGTATTTTGTTGATACATTGGTAGTTTAGTGTACATTTGTTTAAATTAGAAATATTTTTATTATGTGTGAAAGATGAAAGACATTGTATACAGAATAAAATGATTTGAATCAGCGAGAGTGCTTGTATTGTAATGTATTTCCAGAATGTGTATTTATTTAAATTAGTATGACATGTACCGTGCATTAACCATGTGATAAGCATTGCTACACGTTTCTGTATTACCTGTAAATATCACCTGTACCGCCTGTCTGTCTGGTCTGTAAATATCACCTGTACCTCCTGGATGTCCTGGTGATGTCATGCTATGTCTCATGTTGCACTACTAAGTTAGCATTTGTAAGTACTGTGTGTCTGAGACTGGTGGCAGTCTCTTTGGCTGTATAAACGTTTAAATCTTTGTTGTGTGCTGGAGGACATGTGCCTTTGTGGATGTTTATTGGTGTATGTTGAGACCCTAGTTGGGTTTAAATCATGAGTGTCAAATGCAGAATATCACCTCTCCCTTAAATCTAAATTTCCAAATGTATGTCCTTAGCATCTGACATATAGGACTATAGAACTTTTATGGGTTTGCGTTTTCTTTTCTTTTTTTTTTCTTTTTTTTTCACATTTGTTTCAAGCCTGCCTCTATTTGGGCATAAACATTTGATTGGATAGCACACCCTCTGTGTTGGATAAGCAATTGCAATGGGATACTTGTTTGACTAGTGTCTGCAAGTTGTCAAGAGGCTCATTTCTATGTGAATAGGTCTCCACATCAAACGTTTTATTGTCCATATAATTGATACACTGCAGTAGCAATAATATAGTGTTAACATAGAATATAGAGTGCATTTTTCTTGTGTTTTAATAATTTAGCATTTATGGTGTACAGCTGGGTTGGGCAAATACAGCAGTCCTGACTCTTAATATGTAACAATTGCCCAAAAGCAAAAGTATAAAGTTTATAATTATTTTTTGTCACAGGCTTGTATTCGGTTTGTTGTATCCAGCATATTCATCCTACAAAGCAGTTAAAACAAAGAATGTGCGAGAATATGTGAGTATATTATTATTTTTATTTTTGTACGTGTGTGCAATGTATGTCCAATTATATGCATGACTGATTCCACCCGCCCTCTCCCCCCATATGTATGCTTTTATTTCTTCTTGAGAGGAAATGTATTTACTCTGCTATATGCCAGTATCAGGCTTTGTTTTGTACTATGTCCATATTCTCCTAGTTATACCTGTATTAAAGAGTAAATGTCTCCTCTCTTCCATAATTGAAAATCCCCTATAACATGTTAACGTTCTTTTTCCATGAGATGCTCTGGGTTCTTTTAAATTTATATGAAAGATTTGACAAATTTTATCATAATCCATTTTAGACAAAGGCAAAGCCGGCACAACCATTGCAGATGAAGAGAAGAAACATTTTAAATTTTTCCTCCTCTTTGCATCTAGCAGTCTGCATAGTGAAAGTATGCAAAGGACAGAGCTTAAAACAATGATTCACAGGGAGCTGCTGTGACGGAGGTTGCCCAGTTGCATGACAAAAATGTGTGGACTTTTAATTTTAGTTTTCACAATCTAAAAATGCATGTTTCTTAACGGGACAATAAAACAACTTTAGCTTAAAGGGAATCTATAGTGCCCCCCTCCCTCCCTGTGGTGCAGAAAGTGTTAAAAAAAAAAAAAACCTTCTGTCACTCACTTCAGCATGTCCAGCGCCAGGTGACCAAAAGTTAACCCTAGATAGTAATTATTGCAGTTTCGCAATAACTGCAATAATTACTGTTGCAGGATTAAGGGACTTGGGAATATTACTATCCTCCACATAGAGTATTACACATAGCGTGCAGAATATACTATCCTCCAGCTAGAGTATTACACATAGCGTGCAGAGTATACTATCCTCCAGCTAGAGTATTACACATAGCGTGCAGAATATACTATCCTCCACATAGAGTATTACACATAGTGTGCAGAATATACTATCCTCCCCATAGAGTTTTACACATAGTGTGCAGAATATACTATCCTCCAGCTAGAGTATTACACATAGCGTGCAGAGTATACTATCCTCCACACGGAGTATTACACATAGTGTGCAGAGTATACTATCCTCCCCATAGAGTATTACACATAGCGTGCAGAGTATACTATCCTCCGCATAGAGTATTACACATAGTGTGCAGAATATACTATCCTCCCCATAGAGTATTACACATAGTGTGCAGAATATACTATCCTCCAGCTAGAGTATTACACATAGCGTGCTGAGTATACTATCCTCCACATAGAGTATTACACATAGCGTGCTGAGTAAACTATCCTCCACATAGAGTATTGCACATAGCGTGCAGAGTATACTAAATGCATCCAGACAACTTTAATGAGCTAAAGTGGTCTGGGTGCCTATAGTGTCCCTTTAATGAAGCAGTTTAGGTGTATAGATCATGCCCCTGCAGTATCATTGCTAAACTGCGTGATAAAGCTGAAGTTGTATTTGTGACTATATTGTCCCTTTAAATATAAGGTAAATATTACTCCCTATATCTCTCATTTTTTTCTGACAAGTTTCCATACTACATCCTATATAGATTATGTTGTGTTAGTATGCAGCATTCACCTAAAGTAATTTTCTTATATTGTGTCAGTGACAAGTAACCATACTACACCCATTATTTTGTTCCTATATAAAAATTGTATCCAACCACTTAGATCTGTCTGTCTATTTATATCCTGTAATTCAATGTTTTATGGGTGAAAAGCATACAACAAACCATAAAAACCTAAAACACTGGAGTTCTGTGTAAATGAGAGTGAGAGACATGAGATACATCAGACAGTAGGATGCATGTGGGAGAAAAGAAACAGAAAAAGAAAGTGGGGAAGGGGTTACCAGGGGGGAATAGAGGACAAGTGTTCCCCCTCTTCTGGTGTATGTCTATGCGCTAGGTCTCAGTTTTGTAAAACTCGGTCGTGGTTCCTTGCAAGGAGGTTGTCATTGTGACTCTGGTCAGTATATGAAAACCTTTATTCAGAATTTTGTGGTGGGAATGTAGGGCAACTTTGCAATGATTAATGATCCACAATGTGCTTGCCATGCATTTCTTGAATGTGCTTGTTTTTTTGACTGCATTGGAGAGGTCTTTTATATGATGGAGGTGGGGAAGTAAGGAAGATAAAGCGTTATACTCCATAACGTATCTAAGGGCTGCACCATTTTCTCCAAAACCTCATTTAAGCAACTATGGGGCAGGTGCAACATGTTTGTGTATATAGTAACTGTAGCGGACCACGGGTAACCCGACCGGTTACCTCCGCTAATTCCCTTCCTTCAGCTGGTCAGGAACCGTTTCAGAATATCAAGAGACCTATTTCCAGCCAGTGACTGGAAGACACATAGTTCCGGGGGTACAACACAATTTTATTGGCCACACACAGCTTTTATGCATGTCCCCGTGCAAGGGGTCTTCATCTCAAGTCAACAGGGGGTCATATCCCAGGAGCCTTTGTACCTGGGAGCCAAAGCGCGGTAACGGAGACATTGTCCCCATGTCTCCCAGGTACAGAAAGCCCGCCACACATACAAGAGGTATCTCACCTCAACGGACAGGGGTCTTCATCCCATGATCTTCTGTGTCTGGAAGCCAAGGCGCAGGAAAATAAACTGTCCCTTTGTCTCCCAGGCACAGAAAAGCCTGCCAAAGTAGCCAGTGCCCCAAAAGTGTCCCCACCAGGGCACCTTCCCCGACCACTTTCCGTTCGCAAGGCTCCGGTGCTGAAACGTGCAAGGGAAGCATATCCTTCCGGGGTACGAATGCTCCCCCTGGTTGGTGTTCATCTATACAAAAGGCTGGCCACCCAGGGGAGCACTCATTAATTACTTCCCTTGCAGTTTCACACTATGTTGTGAGTGCGAATGTTCTGATTAATTGGTGGGAACGTTCCAATGGGGCACCGGGGAGGTCCTCGTTCGGGAGATGAACGAGTCTTGAAACAATCCACGAAGGCTCCCCCTGGCCGTCGTTCGCGGTACGAATGGTGGCCACCCAAGGGGGCCCTCATTAATTGTTTCTCTTGCGGTTTCAAACTTCTGTTGCGAGGTGTGAACGTTCTAACCTAGAGTTCTAAATGGGGTACGAGGTTGATCCCCGTTCAGGAGACTAATGGATTCCCTTCGTGGGAGCACTCCCGAACAGGGAGCGAGCACAATACACGAAAATACAGGGAAACACATATATTAGAAAAAGGAGATCCACGAACAGGCAGCATTTCTGCCACAGTAACCCTATATGCCACAGAAGTATAACGGAGAATGGCACAAATAGATGTTATGAAGTTTTAGTAGGCGTTAAAGTGTATCTGTCACTTTGCAAAATATGCAAAGACCCCTAAAACTGACAGATCCAATGTTAGTCCAGTGGCTATGGGGTGCAGGGGAGGTAGGTTTTACCTTGGGCTGCTGCTCGCATCCGCTGCCATCTTTGCTCTGCTGTTGCCAGGATTCTGGTCATTACTGTAAACCTCTAAAAAAGGTCTGGTGCCACTGAAGGCGGGGTCTCCAAACTTTGATCATCCCCCAGAAAATGTTTCAACATCCCTTTGCCTAGAGAAGAAAAGCCACCACAACTCTGACTAGGAAATGTGTTCTTTTGTAAAACAACTAAGAGGTCAATGGTCAGTTGGTTCAGTGGTAAAAAATTACTGGATGCAGTAGTGCAAAAGCTGGTCGACTTACGCTCAAAAATATTCTACACGGTATTGACTTGGGGAGAAGCATTTAACAATTCTCAATTATTTATATATTTCGTTTTACAATAAAGACAGCAACCTGCCAAAATTCAGACAAGTGAATTGCACTTAACTAACGTAGGTTTTGTCTCAGTTACAATAAACTAAACTTAAGTTTGTAAACCAAAAACAGTTCTTCTATTGGTATCTGTGTGAAAGTTTTATTCTGTTACCAGAAATATGCTTATCGCTTATAATTGAATGTCACCCTTAATGGAGGGTTACGAAAAATAAGTGTGTGTGTGTCCTATGGAACACTTGTTCATGTGTTTATCATTTTAACCTGTATCCATTTTTTCTCTCTGTTTTCCCACTCAGGTGCGTTGGATGATGTACTGGATCGTATTCTCTCTCTTCATGACTGTAGAAACCTTTACAGACATCTTTGTATCATGGTGATTCTCCAATTACGTTGTCATCACTTGTCTATTTCACACTTGCATCTTATCCACTATATATTATTTTTTTTACCTTCTGACTCCCTATTCTGTACAATCTTTAAAAGGGCACAGTATATTGGTTCTGAGGCATATAGTCTGTCCCTGCAGGTCAGCAGTATAAACTGCTGTCTAAGTCCACCTCTAGTGGCTGCCAATTTGACGAGGTTCTGCAGTGTTTGCGGGACCTACGTTCAGCATCTTCATGCAAAGGGTTGAGATGCTGAACACTCCCCATGGAGATGTATTGACACTTTGAGGAATGCTGATTGGGGCAGTGCATGGATTTGCTATGTATGCACACTTTCCTAATCCTTTTGTGGAAGAATTAAATTGTCTGGAGACGGGATCAACAGCATGGGAACTGGCAGCATAGTGACCAGCACAGCAAGGATAAAATTGAAAGGAACACAATAGGGTCAGGAACACTTGTATTCCTGACCCTATGTTGTTAAAACCACCATTTCGGTGACTTCCCCCCTTGCCCTGACCCCGATCCACCTCCTTGGCTGATGATCTCAGCCAATCCAGTGCTTTCACATAGGAAAAGCATTCGATTGGCTGAGATTGTCAAGTGGCAGGGCCAAATGCAGGCCTGGCCAATCAACATATCCTCATAGAGATGCAACTGAATCAATGCATCCCTATGTCCAAAGTTCAGCCTCTCCATGCAGAACATGGAGACGCTGAACGTCAATGCTGCACACCGTGCACCCAGGAACCTATGTGTCCCTAGGAAATAATATAAACCCTGCCCTTTTCTTTGAAAAGGCAGTGTTAACAGCAAAAACCCTCCAGGGGCTGACTATGCTCACCAGAACAACTACAAAAAGTTGTAGTTGTTCTGGTGGATATAGTGTCCCATTATGTAAAAAAAAATTATATTTTTTTTAAGGGATCCTATAGTGTCAGGAAAATAAACCTGTTTTCATGGCACTGTAGGTCTATGCAGTGCCCCCCTTCCTGCGGGGCTGAAGGGATTAAAACACCTTCAACCACTTACCTGAATCCAGCGCCTATGTCCCTCGGCGCTGGGTCAGGCTCTGCCCACACTCCTCCCGGATCGATGTTAGACCATGTGGGGGTCTAATGCGCGCAGCAATCCGCACGCATTAGGCCTCCCAATAGGAAAGCATTATTCAATGCTTCCCTATGGAGAAAATATGACGCTGGAGGTCCGTGAGGACGTCCAGCGTCAGATATCGGACCAAAGGTCCGTTTGGATTCCGGAAGCACCCCCAGTGGCTGTCTGGTAGACAGCCACTGAGGGCAGACTTAGAGCTGCAATGTTTTACATTGCAGCACTAAGTGCAATAGGGAGACAGCACCCAGACCACTTCAATGTACTGAAGTGGTCTGGGTGCCTACAGTGTCCCTTTAACAGGGAAGCCCAATAATCTGCTGAGGAAAAGACTATAGTGTTACAAATACATATTTGTATTACTAACGCAATAGTGTTCCTTTAAATGCATACAATCATGTATTCCTGACCCTAAAGTGTTTAAAACACTATTCAGGTGTCTTGCTTCCCTTAAAAAGTGTTACAATTTACATTTATTCAAGTGCCAAGTGGATCTGCTAGAGCTGGCCCCGTCCCTGATTTCCCTCCTTGGCTGACATGGTCAATTCTGATGATTTCAGCCAACAAGTTGTGGCAGGGTGTAGAGCCAAAAGTTGCATTGGCCAATCCACATCTTCGCGTTCAGTGTCTCCATGCAGAGAGTCTGAGTGACTGCCACTGGAGGTGTTACTAGGCAGCACTGTATACACTTTTCTCTGAAGCCAGCAGGGACATACTGTACTCACTAGAACTACATTACACTAGTTGTTCTGGTGACTATAGTGTTAAGTTATCATTGCTGCTTTTCCAGATACATTTTGCCTTTGCCTTCACTCTATTCTTTAGATTAATTATTTAAATTATTTAGATTATTCTTTAGATAAATAATATCATGAAGCATTTTTAAAGTGCTACAAGTTAGTTCACTAAACACTAAAGTTTGAATTGAAAACAGATTTGTATAAATATCGTATGTGGCTATAGCATATGTAATTCAGTGTTCAGTTAGTTACATTTGAGTGTTTAATGAATAAACCTCTACATTATATCTCACAGTTTAGGATTCCCAATTTTTTGTGATCATATCTCATATGTTGTATTTGTCCTAAGTATCCTTTGTTCCGTCTAACGCACATATCTAGAACATAAACTATATTTTGCTTTCCTTTTTCTGGGACACTGTTTGTTTTGCACTTTCTTACATCCGCTCTCTTTTTTTCTAGGTTTCCTTTTTACTATGAAATTAAGATGGCGTTTGTGATCTGGCTTCTGTCTCCTTATACACGGGGAGCAAGCTTGCTGTACAGGAAATGTGTGCATCCTGCCTTATCAATGAGGGAAAAGGTACACACAGTATATATTTTGTGTAAAAGGGCAAAAAGATTCATAGTGGGAAGATCAGATTTAAACCTGCTATGTCACATGACTTGAACTTTAGAACGTGAACTGAGGAAGATTAGCTGAGAACAGTTCTATTCCCATTTGTGTCTGTAGATTTTACAGCGAAAGCATTGGGCTTGCTATGTGTAGAATTCCATTTATGGGGCGTTGAACATTGTGGTTACATTTATGTCTGTTTTAAGCTATTTTTCCTCTCCAAGGTTCAATTAAATGCTCTCAAAGAGCATTTGAGCATACCTATCATCAGGCACGATTATGCCCGAGCAGGAGGGAATACATGGAAGGCAGGAAGTGAGCTCACCAAAAGAGATGGGGAACATAAAAACTATCCTTTGCAGGCACGCACACAGCACTGTCTACAAACTTAGAAGTTGATTACATGTGTTGTCAGCGCAAACTGATGTTATTTGCACATGGACATCCAGCGTCACCCAAAACCCCATAGGAAAGAATTATACAAGTCCTAATGCGAGCGTGGCCCTCACCGCACATGAGCATTAATTCCCCCCGAAGAAAGCACAATAAACTGTAACAAAAATATCAATATTAAGGAGTTTATGAAATTGAAACTTCTCTGGCACTTAGAGAATTAAGTTGAAATATTTTCATGCAGCCAGAAGCTGTGTAACAAGATATTTAGAGGTAATTTAAGTAAATCGAATATGGTTCTAGCATTTTTCTCAATGTTCTTTCCATTTTTTTAGCACATTTAGCACATTAGCAAAGCACATTTACAGTGCAGTGATTGAGTGAATTGTCTGTACACAGGTTATACTGTTTTTTTATACCTGTATTTTTGAACCAGTATTGCTTTACAGATTCTCTCCCCTCCTGTTCATTTCTATTAACACATATAGGCAGCCTTGTGGCTCTGTACATTACATGCAGCTGTCCCCTCAGGCATGGATTCCACCAGCTGCACTGACTTGTTTTTCTGTTGTGTGTGTGTGTGGTGTTTTTTTTTTTTCTGCAGGCAGCAAGAACAGCTGCAGATAAGGTGTCTGTTAACTGTTCGTTAGCCACAGACGTTCTCTCTTGAAGGGATACTATAGTCACCAAAACGACTACAGTTTAATATAGTGGCATGATCTTGCTGTCTTTTCAGAGAAAAGGCAGTGTTTATATTGCTGCTTAGTAACACCTCTAGGGGCAGTCACTCAGATGGCCATTAGAGATGCTTCCTATCTTAGTGTTGCACAGTGTGCAGCAACTACATTCAGCGTCTCCTCGTTTTGCATGGAGACGCTGAAAGCTCCCCTTAGAGATGCATTGATTCAGTGCATCTCTATAAGGAGATGTTGATTGGCGTAGCGTTTTGCCAAGCATGCGCAATAGCCTCAAAATGCCTTCCTATGGGAAAGCATTACGTATTTGAGATTATCAAGCTTGATCTCAGCCATGTAGGCAGAGCCAGCAATGGCGAGACCAGCGCATCGACGGAGACAGGCTAAATAAACTCGCCTTTAAATTCCATAGAAAGGGGGGCCAGGATCTAATTATCTGTTCCAGCAGTATTCTTGATATTATAGTGTTCCTTTAAATATATGTAATGTCTTGACATACATCTTCTCTTAATTCCTCCTGATTTTCCTAGGAAATAGATTCCTATATTGTGCAAGCAAAGGAGCGAAGTTATGAGTCCGTAGTGAGCATTGGACGCAAAGGCCTGAACATTGCAGCCACTGCTGCGGTACAAGCAGCTACAAAGGTACTTTTTTTTAATGCCACCCACTGCTTGTCAGAGATCATGGGAGAGAGTTCTGTTTTCTACTGTCTATGGATTAGAGCTTTTTCTACATTAAGGATGTGTCTTGGGCTGGATTTCTTGTATTTGGAAATTGTCAATTTGGTGCAATGTAATATGACAGGAAAGTTTGATTGTTCTACCCCACATACTTCTTTAATAGTCAGGAGAATGTCTTGCCTGAAAGATTGAAGACTTAGGCATTTGAGCCAGATATTTACAAAAGTATAGGAGTGGCATTTCAAACATTAAGTGGTGAAGTTTGGGAAGGCGGAATAAAGCTTGGCAGAGGTTTGATAGCATCTTGTCAACTGACTCCTGAAACTTGAAAGTGATAGAGAAATGGCATTTTGAGAACACTGCACACAGGTAAATTATATGAATTAAATTTATGCAAATAAGCTGGCTGTTAGACCCTTTCATGTTTACTTGAATGGCGATGGGCATATATGATAAACTGAGAGTGTCACTTGAGTTCATCAGTCTGTATGTGCAGGGATAGGCTGAGAATGCTGACGTGATGCTCTCTGTCTAACATTGCCCTTAATGGCTGCCCAGGTTAACAAGAAATGTTTTTTCTGAGTGGAAGTAGTGAGGAGGTAAGTAAACAGTTTACCAGTGAACCTAGGAATGGCACCAAGCCACTCCAGCCATCATAACCATTTGGATGAGATAAGGTGGTTATGGTGCACAGAGTGTTCCTTTAAGCTGATAAGAGTGAATTTGGGGCATGTTTTCTGTGGTATACATAACTAATGGATATGCTTTCCCAACAGAGTCAAGGAGCACTAGTGGGACGACTCCGCAGTTTCAGTATGCAGGATTTACGGGCACTTCCTGATGATGCCCCTGTACACTACAGAGATCCCTTGTATCCAGATGATTCTGATTTGCACCGCCGACCAATTGGTAATTCGTTTTTGGGGAAGAGAGAGATCAAAATGAGGGATAGGCCAAGAGTAACTCATTCAATCAATGATTTGTTTAAAATTCACAGTTTCTGATTTAGATTTTTTTTAAATGTATTTAGTCATTTATGTTTATGGCATGTTAAACCAATTAAAACAAGACATGCTTTGACCAAACTATGAAACTTTAACTCTGAAAGGACAGAGCCAATTGTCAAAGTTTTGAACCAAAACAAAACCAATAATTTGCTCTGGTTTGTTCCACCATAATTTAAGGGTTTCTCTTTTAGTGCCGATATATATATTGTAAATATATCGATTTTTTTTTTTAAAGGGCTCTCTTTTAATATTCTATATGTGTCCCTAACACAACATTTAAGTGTGAATAAATTGTTAAAAATGAAGGGGGTGAGGGGTAAAATCTTTTTCACCGTTTTACACATCCAGTGCAACTAAATAAAAAGCTAAAAATAGATTTACATATCAGTCATGATGGTTAAATGCCTATAATGTCTAAGATATAAATTCATTTTTGGTAGTCAAGGCTAAACCTATACCAGCCAGCCCCTCAACACTATATTAACTATGCCACTTATTCTATGCTTACACTACCAATAATCATGTACTTTACCTTAAACCCTACACTATCCCTAACCCTAAAACAGCGTTAACAAAAGCCAAGCATTGCCCTTTTCCCTAACACTACCCCAAGCACTAGGGAAACTCTCTGCTAATATCCATACCAATATCAGCAGGTGGGTTTCCTAGTTAAAACAGTAGAGTGGTATGTGGTCGTACTCCCTTTTTTCAGTATTATAGGAACATTTTCCTGTAATAGAGCATGCTCCAATCACAGCCAGATGAAGGGAGACCCTGTTAATTTCTGTCCAGACCTTGGGGGTCTCCCTTCAGCAGCCTGCAGCCGTAGAATCACAGCAATCGCTTAGCCGCGGGGTTTCTTAATTATATAAAAGGCTGTATGCAGAGTTGACTTTCAGTACTGTTTGTGGCTCATTGGTCAGTCTGGGGGCATCACTAAATGGCCACAGGTGACAGAGGGGAGCCCCAGGTATCCATTGATGCCTGGGTCTTCCTGGTGTGATTATCAATTTAGCCTTGCTTCCACTCAATTACACCAAAATGACTTTAAATGCCAAAGAGCTGTGTGCCCCGCTCAATTTAAGCACTGCATAAAACTCATCTGCACTCTGGGGCTACCAAAACGTGCCACAGGTATTGATTGACACCTGGAACTCCTTGGTGTACACAGCGATTTAACCCTGCTCACACCAAAATGTTAGGCTTTAAATCCCAGTATAATTAAAACATGATGACAAGTCCTAGCATTGGGAAAGTGTTAAAGTAATAAACATTGATGTTTAATAACAATGTATGGGTGTGGCTATATTAAACTATGTCTTCTAAACCCCTTTAGCTTACCCTCCACCTTCCCAGAATGACAGTGATTCCATGGATGAACGGTGGTCAGACTCAGAGGTGCCAGATTCAAGGAGTGCAGCAAGGACACGAGGGAATCTCCCTTCAAAACCTCTCCAGAGGAGTCAGAGTTTAAAAGTGAACAAGAAAAAGGTGCTAACGCGAGAGGTGAGGAATACAGAGAGTCAAAAAAATTGCTCTACAGACTTCCAATTCTACTATACTATTTAATTAAAATGTTGCATCCGAGTTCAGTGTATAAGCAGATTTCCATACTAGACTTGCCCTAGGGTAATTAATAAGATCCATATCCCATACAAGCCTTTCAGGGCTTAAAAGGCTGGTGTGTGCATAGCATACGCACCAGGGATGAATTTGTACTTACCAATAGGCTAGGGACAAGTGTATGTTTTGAGCACTACTTTATAGCCTTGTTTTTAGAACTACTGCTTTTTAGAACAAGTGCTTCAAATGAGAATGGCATGTAGTGTGAGTGCATTATGATAAAATCTAAATAGTAAAAATAGCAAATATGTATAAAAATAGAGTAATCTATTTATGAAACAATCATAAAAATCAACTGCATTATGCAAACGGAAAACAGTTATTACAAGTCTCCTGTCAATATGTTTGCCCAGAACACACAGGTACCCAGAAGAACAGTCAGAAGGAATTTATTCCCTATATACTTTTTTTCTTAAAGGGACACTACAGTCACCAGAACAACTACACCTTATTGTATTTGTTCTGGTGAGTATAATCGGTCCCTTCAGGCTTTTTGCATTAAACACTGTCTTTTCACAGAAATGCAGTGTTTACATTACAGCCTAGGGATACCTCCACTTGCCACTCCTCAGATGTCTACTAGAGGTGCCTCCTAGGGCAGTGCTGCACAGTGGAGACACTGAACTCCCTCATAGAGATGCATTGATTCATTGCATCTCTATGAGGAAATGCTGATTGGCCAGAGCTGGTTGTGCTTGCTCTGCCCCTCATTTGCTTCCTTGACTCTCAGCCAATCCAATGCTTTGATATGGGTAAGCATTGTGATTGGCTCAAGTTATAACTTCTGATGATGTCAGCCATGGAGGCAGACCAAGAACAGAGCCAGATTGGAATAAAAGTAAGATTTTACTATATTTTGTGGAGGTCAAGGGGGCTAGATGGTGTTTCTAACACTATAGGGTCAGGAAGAAATGATTGTGTTCCTGACCCTATAGTGTTCCTTTAAATTAATCTCCAGGTACAAGCTGGTGTTATGGCTGAATGCCTTTCTCAAAAATTGTCACTTATTGTTTTGATTTTTGTGTTACTGACTCTTAATGAAAAAATGCATGTGTTTGGGTTGAAAATATAAAGATTCCAGTAGTTGTGTTTTCTTTATCTGAATTGTATTTCCGTTTGTTTAATTTAAAATTTTCCTTCATATATTTTGTTGCAATTTTTTTTTTTTTTTTTTTAATATTTTTAATTTGCCATTGATTTCTGCCTTTATGAGCATGATAATGTGAAACATTAGTTTGCATACTACTGAAAGACTGTCTGTAGGGAACTAGAGCCAAAATGAGACCTGCTTGGTAAGGGACTGGTGACCATGTTAGGTAACCACTTAAGCTTAAAATAGCAGGATCCTGCCAGGATCTGAAGTCTGGGGGACTGCTGCAGGTATTAATTAATAGATAAAAGTATCTGTCTATGAAGAAGTGGGATATTAGTGGTTAAATATTAACACTCCGATACACTGGCTTACTGTGGTGTATGCTTGCAAATATATTTGGAGGGTATGTTAGCAATATTTATATATTTGCAGTGTTAATTATGTTGTTAAAAGGACAGGAGTAGTTCATGTTGGAATGTGTGTTATGAGGCATATGTTATTGAGAAGACTGTCAGCAGCAAGAAACTGACAGAACTTGCATTTTGAAAATATACACATTTGAAAGTAAGGAAGTAATACATAATGTGCCTCTGTTGGAGAATCCATAAAGGTGGTATCATTGATAGGACTCACCATATAACATATTGGGTTTATATATTCGATCTAGCAGGTGTTGCAGCATTCTCGTCAGTTTACCTGCTGATCTCTGTTTTTCTGCCATTTGCCTGTATCCTATATAAAGTATATTATTACATTAATATTTCTCTGCTAATATCTTGTTAGTAATTGATTTTTATTTTATCCAGGGCTCCATCAGAACTGCTAAACCCAGAGCAAAGAAGAAGCCTACCGCACAGTTAGATCCTGAGAACTAGTGTATGCAGTAGGAAAGAGCTGCCTCAAATATACAGCCAAAAACACTGAATTTTCACACTGACTGCATGTTACAATTTGTGGGTGCAGGTTGTGTTTCAATCTGTATATATTTACATGTGTATGATTGTTAATGTGTAACTGCATTGAAGTGAGATCACGGTGTGTACATTTTATCACATGTGCTGGATGAGCCCTCTATATGCTGCAAGATCAGAAGCTTCTCCTTAGATCTTCTGTCTGTCCTTTCAGTGAAATATTCTATTGGCCCCTTCCCTCTTCTCCATGGCCTCACACTTTCTGCTTGCTCTTGTTTCCTTCTCACATATCTCCCATACTCCTCATTGATGATCTTCTCTTTCAGCTTTCCTCCTCTACTGTGACTTACAGTTTAGGCCTCTTCTCTAATTTGACCTCCCCCTTCTGCTCATTCTGCCATCTATTTCCCTCTGCAATAGCATAAATTTCCTTCATGTGAACTTTTTATCCTTTCTTTCCAATTTCATACCATAATTTTACTGATTCTTGTGTCTACCCTCCCCTGCTTAAAATGTTCTCCTGTGTCTCTAAGTTTTATTCATACTAACCATAGTGGATTTGTTGTCCATGGATGTAATGGATTACAGCCAATGGCTTACTCAGTTGTGGGATATTCCTTTATCTCTGGTATTTGAGATAAAGGGACATTCTAGGAATCATTTAAGTGGTTATGGTGCCTGGTGTCCTGATGCTGTCCTGCAGTTCAGTGTTAAACCGTTCTTATTCTGTTTGACATTATATGAGGTGCCAATTTGACATGAAACGGTTAGAATAATAGTTTAACACTGCACTTTGGGATTGTGTCAGGTGACTTCAGACACCATAACCACTTCAATGTGGTTATCAAGTCTGTGTGAGGTGGTTATGGTGTGTAATGCATGCAGATCATCTACATATTGACAAACACTTTTCACCAGCCCATTGTCTGAATCTTAATTCTTTCACATGGAGCCCCTATTACATCCTTATCTTCCTTTTATATTTAGAAAGCAGTACATTCAAGGATCAAATGATTATGAAATGTGATTCACTCATTTGTCTACTTTAGTACTGCACAGCACACTACATGTTTTTTATATCATCAAACGATGGGAACATTTATTATATCTCTGTCAGCCTTGTTGACAGGCTTGGAATTCACCTTCTTGTTACTGGGGCAGGTTGTTATTCCATTATTATTCCTTTGAAAGTTTTAGGTTGGGGACCGAAATATTCTCGTCTCAGATTTGACTTCACATTGTGCAGTTGGATGAAGCCTCCTCAGAGTTCTGGTCTGGCATCTTACTTTTTTATCTTGTCTATGCAGCCAGTTGCTGGGACGTGGATGTCACCATACTTTCTCACACTACACAGCCAGCCTGAGATACAATTCTATTCACTCTTTCTTATTCACAGCTTCCCTGTGTGAGCCGGAGCTCATGTACTGTATGTTACAGGGAAGATCTTATTCTAATTCCACAAATGGAATTCAATATTTTGGTGATGGATACATTAATTTATTTTAACTGCCTAGCTTTTTTAAAAATAATTATTTGTTCAATCTGATGTTTTTATTGTTTGAAAGGTCTCATTTTGTAACTGAAAATGTGTGTCTGGATTGTTCACCGTGTTAGTTGCAGTAATTTAGTGGAAGATGACTATCAGGGTCTGTTTAAAGGAGCAGTCAATACACTATAGCTAGTACGCTCAGCCAATGAATGCATTTAATACTGATGAAATGAATATTGGTAATGGAATGTCTGTATTGGCAGTATCAGGGGAAACGGATATTGGTGTTATAGTGCCTGGACTGTTTCTTTAAACATAAACTATAGATACTTTAGCAATTCCTTTGGAACATAAATTCTTCTCATTTGGAAATGGGAAAGCAACTCCTTCACCAGTCATTTATTCAGTCTTAGATGAAAAACTACATGGGGATGTGCATTTTGTTGTGGAATTACCTTTAAAGAGCTTGGATGTCCGATAAAAAGATAAGAAATTAAATAATGGCTGCCCTACTTTGGATGCCATGGAAGAATACTTAACCACTTAGGGTCCCATTTATGTGATGACTTGAAAAAAGGTATCTTTCTGCATTCACAGTGGAGGTGCCATTGTTTATTTTTGAAGTGGTTTTGAGTTGGGAACCTCTGCTCATCATGCCAAACGGATGAGTACTTGTTTCTGTCATCTCTCTGCTGTCAGTGCTTATTTTATATCCTTTAACTGGTCACACTATTCATTAATGCATAGGCAAAGATTAACGTAGACCTAGATCAGCATAAGTTGATCCACTGTAATGAACCACATAGGCGCTTTAACTATTTCAAGCATCAGGGTTTTAGTGACCTCTTTCTAACTCAACAGGCTAAATACAGCTCCATTGAAATGTCACACAATGATCAAGTAATGTGTCTTATTTAAGCTATGTCTTTTACAATTTTTTCTTTTCTTCAAACGGTATATATGAGTATAGTAAAAGGAGAAGTGAAAGATAAATGGTAAAAGTGGGAAACGTTTGGACTCCCTCTCTAGCAGGCATGCTGTTTGTAATTTTTTGTATTACTAGTCTGTAAGGATTATAACTAATGGCAGTTGGACCATAGTACTGACTGAAGCATAATATGTCCTGTTCTTAAAGAGTTGTAAGTTTCTTCCATGATGCCAAAAGGGTGTTCTATGACCTTGATGTTCATCCTTGTCCTGTCAAAGAATAACTAGTGCAAGCTAGTTTTTAACACATCACCATGACTACTTTCAATACATGTAGAACATAGCATATAGGAATTCCTATGCTTTACCTATCAAGTGCCATAGACCATACTTGTAGCAGAGAATAATCCTAAAGCCATAAAGCATTTACTCCCAATAAATGAAATTAATCCAGTCAGGGGAAAAAAACATTTTGTATTATTGTTCCTGTCCATATTTGGAATGTTATGTGGGCCACAATTGGCCAAATCCTGAAGTGCCTGATGTCAGAAAACATTTTGTAATGTTTTGGTGGACAAATCTGTACTTTTTGATATGCTGTAAAATAAATCCCTTTTTGTTCTGAAAGTAAATTTCTTTGGAGGAAAATGGGTTATGATGGATGGTAGTGTCTCTCTGGATCCCAAAAAAATCGTTAAAGGGACATGTTACAAATAATTATATTCATTTAGATTGATTACGGTTAGACATAGGTACTCCAGTTAAACAAATAATCATCCCAGTATGGTAAAGTTACAGTTGAAGTCAGTACAAGTAAAGTATTCCACAGTATTTGTCTCATCTGCCTCAAATTTCTAAAGAACTCCGCCACAAAAGGCAGTATCCTAAGAAGGTCCGAGTTTAATCTTTGTGCAACACAATACAGGAATAGTGCTACTCTACTCCTGTTATGTGTTCCACCAAGAATAAACTTGTATTCTTCTTTACATACGATCTGTTGTGCTGGATTAATTTAAACTTTATATCTATCTTTGGAGAACATTGAGTGCAGGATATATATATGTGTATATATATATATATATATATATGTGTATATATATATAATTTATTTATTTTTTAAAGCGTATCTGTCACTGTCTGGTGTCTTTGCATTCAACAACTTTGTCACTTGATGTCCAGTGGCTGTGGGGTGCAGGAGAAGGAGAGTTATTCTTACCGGTCTCTCATGGCCACCGCCATGCTCTTTCTGCTGGTCTTATTCAGCTGCTAGTAGCCCACATCAGTGTCGTAACACTGAGTTCTATGGAGGATCCCATAAGATCCTCCATAGAATGAGTGACAGCTGGGGGTTGGACAAATGGTAGCTCTCTCTTTTTATCAAGTGTAGTCTCTTTGGTAGTGAAGTTCCAAAACCCTACTTCTGGCTGCAGAGTATGGGGCTGCGTAGCCACAGACGTGTCCTAGAGCCAATGAAGATCCCTTTCCACTGCCGAAAGCATCTTCAATAAAGTCGTGAATATCAGAATTGGACCATGGAGCAATGGAAGAAGGTTAGATGTTCTGATGAATGACATTTTCTTTTAGATCAGTTGGTGTGGGGAAGAGTTGGCAGCAGGATGCAATATATGGAGAAGGCAGGCTGGCAGAAGCAATGTTATCCCCTGGACAATGTTTTTCTGGGAAACCTTGTATCCTGGTATTCATGAGGATGTTACTCTGTCATGTACCATCTACCTGATGGTATTGCCCTTCCTGGCAATGGTGTTCTCTGATGGAAGGATAATGCACACTGCAAAAATTGTTCACAAATTGTTTAACCCCTTCCCGACCTCAGATGTGCAGGGTACGTCCAACAAAAAACGGCAGTTAATGACCACGGATAGCGGGTAAAATGACCCAGGGACTCACCTGGACCGGCGATCCTGGTCCAGCAGGACTGCCCGAGATCCCTGCAGTCCCCCTGCTGCCGCTCCGGCCTCTCAAGGGCCGCAGTGGAAGTCTATGGAGCTGCCAGCCGGGGGGGGACACTATCTGAGCAATTATACAGTCCCCCAGACACCTCAAATATACATATATAATAATTTTATAATATATTATACATATAGAATGCATATATATGATTGCATTATTAAGTGTACTTTAAGATATATACACATTCTATATACATATGTAGAGTAATGTCTCACGAGCAGTGACGTATTTGCCGTGAGGCAAACAAGGCATTTGCCTTGGGCGGCACTTTCCAGAGGGCAACAAAAAACGCTGTCCCCAAATGCCCAGGCAAATACCTTGTTAGCCTGGTGGCAGATGGCTAGCTGAAGTCCAAGGTGTGCATTGAGGGAGCGCTGATTTGTGAGCTCTTTGCTCAGGTTCCTCGCACACCACAGTGATGCCGGGAGCCGGAGTATTCCGTCCGCCTTGGAATTCAGCTAGCCACCCACCTGCCTGAATGCCTGCCCCACTGGACCCTAGGTAAAAAATCCACCCAGCTCTCCCAAAGGTAGGGCGGCTGGGTGGATTAAAATTTTAAAATAATCTGAATGTGGAG